TTTAGGCTTGCTCCCCATCTGTCACCCTGCTGTTGGGCTTAGGGTTCTGTAATTCTGAGGGCTCCTATTTTATTGAGTTCTGTTACAGAGTACATTTCTTCCTATATTTCTTACCTGTATTCTTCGCTTTTCAGGCCGCGAGGGTACGCAGTTAGGTTGCAGGGGGTAAGCAACTGTGTCATCTGGCTTTTTCCCATGGCATCGCGCCGTCGGCTCATGGTGTTGTGTGGTTCTGTCAGGTTTTATTGTTGACTCTTTATTCTCTAATGTTCAGGATTAATGCTCTACTCTTTATCCCCCTCGATCCACACGTGAGTATAGTGGTCAGGCTTTATCCTCTATCTTCACACCTCCACGTTCTCGTGTATTGTCGGTGGTTTGTTTTTACTTCTTAGTTTTTATTAGTATTGTCCGATAATTTAACTTAGGCGGGTAAGGTCTATTGATTAGGCGCCTTCGGTACTGCGATCACCCTTAGGTTTTTATGATTTATGGTGTAGTGTTTGGGTTGCAGGTGCCTGGTACTAAGCTCTATACTTCATGGCTTAGCCCTGACGGCTTCAGAGTGAGGCCCGTAGCCTAGGGGGCACTGGCACTTTCTAGTATTTATTCCTACGATTAATTTTTTATATATACCTCGTTATTTCTGCTTTCTGCTGTTATTTCTTATCTCCTTATTCTTAGGATTCCCCGCTGTATCTTGACGATTTACGGTTCAGATTCTATGGTTGCGGATTCAGTCTCACTGTGTACGACTGATCGGATACCCCCATTCTCTATCTGTGTTTGATCAAGTGTAGGTTCGTTCTTGCATGGCTTAGCTTTACCATCTATACTGCCTGTGTCCTATGCACTGCTCAGGTGTATGTGCTATGATTCATGTTGCAAGGTGTTTTGGTGTATTTGGTCCTATTATTCTTCAGAGTGTTTGCCCGAATGCTTTTGAGTTAGGCATGATGTTCATTCTTTACAGGTATTAATTGGGGGTGCCACCCCGTACTGCTTCTTTCTTATCTCTTAGGGTTTCGATATGTGCTCTATTAATTGGTCTTCAACTTTGAGTTTCTGTGTTGTATGATCTATTGTGCAAGTCTTAGGGTTAAGGGCCTATGTTTCTGATTGTGTCATCAGCCTCTAAAGCTTATTCCTTACGGTTAACCATTTAATGCTGTCCGCTCCGGATTAACATCTTGGACTTTAAGCAGCCTCTCCCAAGCATCATTGCCCACTCTTCGTTTCTAGTTGGTGTGCGTTCCCCCTCGATCTACTTTACTCCTTCCTTCTTCCTGGGGTAATGGTGCGCCCTCTGGCTTCTTTTATGTCGCCTCCTCTTACTCCCTCTCTATGTTCTCTTTTTAGTTGTCTGTGAAGATAGAAGAAGAGATATATTCGTAGATTCCTTATTATTCTCCCCCTATTCAATATATCTTAAGTGTTTTAATATAATGATACAAAACAATCAATGTTTAGACTCTGTCCGTTTCCTTCATTGAAATATATACAGAGGGACAACAGACTTCTTGACCTAGTGCTATTTCCTTGGCTGTTTTATTCTCATCCCTTTCCCATAGGATATATTTGTAAAATCCTGGAGGGATACATTGGGCCATGAGGCGCCGAATTATAGAGCACATATTCATCTATATTAATGTTAATCCATACTGTTGTAAGATTTCTTGCCCATGAGCCTCTTCTCATATTCAAATTTGTATCTTCCTGTTCTTCTATGTCACTAGTGAAGTTCTCTTAATAATATGGATACTATGGGATGGGTACACAACACGTTTGCTGCTTCACGATTCTCTGAAGGTTTTTATTGAAATTTGGCAACACATGTTGAATGACTTGTATTTATCACTTGATTTCCTGCTTCTATAAGGAATTTGTACATATGACTCTGGAGTACAGGCGATTATGGAAGAGTCCCGCCCAACTGCTCGATCCACTCTTAGAGGAGATATGTTGTCGGTTATTAATTCCACTTGTTTATTGGAATGTTTGTGTGCTCATAGAAAATATATGTATACGTGACACCCATTAAATTATTCCCTGTATTTATCTGAGGATAATAAGAATCGCAGTGACAGATATCATGCTTATTACTGCTATTCAAGCATAAGTGTGATATATTCATACTATGACTGTTCGTATTTGATGTTTTATCATGCAGAACAAAGTCTATCACTTTGGTATCACCGCTTTGAAATACAGACAAAAGGATACGGATAAATAGTATAGATCTTGTCACTGTTCTTCTACTGACAGAGCTATGAAGCCTTGTCAGAATTGGAGAAAATTAATATTACCCTGCTAATTTATCTTTTTCTTCATTTACAAAGGTCTAAATAGCGCTCATTAGGTGGAAGAATCCTCATAGTCCATACGGAACTGACAGATTTTTTACCTATACTTACAATATTTGCCGATTAGAATGTCATTGCGAACAATCAGTCGTTTATATTGGAAATGTTAGATTACCGTTCTGTATTAATGTTGTGTGCAGTCTCAATAAACCTGCTTTTCCTATAAAATTATATTTATGACTATTATATATTATACTGTATACCCGCATTGTGGAGACATTATTCAGCTGATTCTCTAGGTGTCAAATCACAGAGCTATCAGTAATTTATTGCTACTACTTCGAACCTGAAAGCAGATAATGAGTGGCCAGATGGCTGTTAGCATGTCTCTTAATAAATTGCAAGAAAATGTCTTCCCAATCTCTGATAAGAATATTTTAAATGTTTCTTATTGGTTGTCAATTTGCGATATTCACTTTGTATATATATTTGTATGCGCATGGAGGAAGCCTTCTATGAAAATTAGAAAGAAATTTAGAGGAAGCATGGACCCCCACCTAAGGGAAGAGATAGGCGCATCCCTTGTTCAGATAAAAATATAACAGACATTCAGTGGGTTGAAAGAATCTTTTGGTGTATGTCTTCTTTACTAAATTGGATTCTTCACTATAATGATAGTATAGGAGCAGGCATATCCCGATTCTTTATAATCTCTCCAGTACCTGTTAATTATTTTGCCTATAAACTATTATCCGTAACATTATATAAGGGCAACTGCTTCGTATGTATGAAGAATAGTGGCATCCGGCTTAAATGTGATTATTAGGAATTAGCAAGGATATCATAGTCATTTATTGATATATTTTATTTGAGCGCGTTAATATAGTTATTAATGAAAGTATTTATATTTATTTATGAGGGATTTTTATGAATCAGTTCATTCATGCAGGGTGGCACTGACATTTTATTATGCATAAGAAGGGTATTCATTCTTTCCATTAAATATCTTCTAAAGAAGTATGAAGCTTCTTATCTAAACAAGGAACTGACAAAGTTAATATGCAGACTGTACGGAGTCCCTAATGTTCCTTAATGTGAGAAAGGATGCACATATTAGGAGTAATGCCATTGGCATATGTATACAGTAAAGTGCGAAATTCTGGCAATGATTCAAAGATAGGTTTTAGTCTAAGGAAGGAATCATATTAAAGAGGATATTCATAATGCTCTATTATGATACAGGACATAAACACTGTATAAATATACATTTGATTTGGAGACGGAATAGGATAAGTATTAATGGGCACCATTATGGACGTTCATGTCTGTACTTAGTAATTGTAATAATACAAATTTAAGTTGTTGTATGCGTCAGTACCACTCTTCTTATAGTTATATTGGGATCTAATTTTATATCTTGTATTATGCATAAAGCAGCATGAATAAAGTTTTGGGGACATATGTGAGGATTAATGAGGGAATTAGGCATTAAGGAACACAAGATAGAGAATCTTTACTTTTTAATTTTAAGCGGGATATATGCTCATATTGGCAAACCATTCTACAGGATTTGGGAATTTTCCTCTAGCTTACGCTATAAGGAGTCTATTCAGATATGCTCTATATTAATTGGACGAGAGGCGAAGACAGAGTACCCTGTGGACATGTAGCTACTGTTGCTGAGTCTTGCTATAAAAATGTCCTCTCCAAGATAGATGAAGAATGATTGCACAGGAGTAGTCACAAATATTTAGTCCCGTTATATGAAGTTAAACAGTAGATTCGGGTTCACTGAATGCATTGCAATGAGTATTATTTACAATATATTGTGCTCTTTTGACGAGTTCAGGACGTGATGTGTGTAAATTGGAAAAGAAAAGAAACGCTCAAAAGTTTCCTCAAATGGAGCGTCCCTACCGGCGGTGTCAACTGTGGCTGGACCCAAGCTGATGAGAGTATAGCAGAGTAGAAAAAATGAGGAAGAAGCCAATCTCTTCTTTGAGCGATCCTTACATGTAAATTTCTGTAGAAGTTAATAAATTTCATAAGGAGCCTTTTGATAAGAGGAGGATATTTATAAATTCCCCGTCCTTTTCCGCTTCCCGTGTTGAGCCTCTTCTGATTTATTAGTTTCTGTTTATTGTTGATCGTAAAGTGCTTAAGGCATTTATGGAAACTATTTTTGCGCCCTATAAGAGTAAACACATGTGCAATTAGGCCCTGTTAATAATGCATAACGAGGGGCCTGCGTGTACAAGGAAAAGGAAAGAATTGGGACAAATTAAGTAAAACATATATCAAATGGTGTCATTGAACTGTATAGAAGGCGTATATTATGAAATTTAATTTGGTTCAGCAAAGTGCCTCCTCATTTGAAGCATATGAGTGCTTCGTTATTTATGGACGGATCTCATGAATTGCTGAAATATTATGCAGTAAGAGAAAGTACCTCCTGGCATGGTGTTCTGAATTATGTGATTCAAACCGAATATACGCCTCTGGTCTATAGGATATTATATGTAGTACAACAGTTAAAAGTATTATGCGACATGAATTCATTTTTATGTATAATTTTTGGGGGGTTATTCTAGAAGGCTGAAGCTAGAGAAGGATGAGGACGTAATTTTTATATTCCGTAAAACCTGTCAACACAAGGATAAGAGAAGCAGTAAAATTAATGAACTATACGAACAAGTCATGTTGCAGAGAAATAATGCTTCCTACATTTCAATCTTTCTAGAAATTTTCACAGAGCATCTCGTAATGAAATATGCGAGAAGACAGAAAAAACAGAAACACTTTATAATGTTCCATATTCTGCTTACAGCAATGTATATGTCACGGTTACTCTATGTATACCTAATACGGAAGTTCATAAGAAGAGAAGGACCACAAGAGAAGAATGTATGCAGATATAGTCTCTATGGAGTACTGAGTAATATGAAACAGTTCCCCACTATTGTGTCGGCATCATGTGAAACAGTGATTTCTTATTATTCTTCCCTAGTTCATTACCTAAATGAATCTATTTTTCAGGACATTTTGAACAACGGAGACAACAGTGATGCGTCCTATTATAGAATTCTCCCCCTACAGCGTCGGGGGTAACATTATCTGGTTTATGGTGTAAATAGTTGGATGTAACCTGTATTATATTCAAATGTTCATCTTACAGTTCATATTCTTCCGATGCACAACGCAATTAGTTGAATAGTGCCTGGTCTCTAGTACACGAATTATAGTATTGTATGAGGTGTAGAGTGTAGCAACATAAAGGAGCTGTATTTACGGAGATGTCAATTTTAGCATAGTGAATGTGGACAGAATATGTGGCCGCCACAATTTTGAACAGCATAAAGGGTTCAAAGTAAGTGGGGATAGTGTAAAAGAAATTATCGTTGGAGACAGTTCTGCCTGATAATATAAGGGAGGTGAGCTTTTTTCATGCGATGCCATTTATTTATGCCCGTTGATTCATACAAATACCAGAAATCATTTTCCTGTTTTGTTTTTTCCTTATCCGTTCTCCCTTACAATAAGATGGGTTTCCGATCTAATTTGCAAAAGAGAAGTGCATCAGGAAATATGAACAGGTCTAAATGTGTTTATACAGGCCATCTGTCAGTAGGCGTATATGCATTCTGAACATTAAGGTAGACACTGACGAAAACACCATTGCAAATTCCTTAAGGCAAACATGCAAGTTGCTGTTAACATCACGTAATTCTATCACCAAGAACGGGTGACAAGAGAAATGTGTCTTAAACAGTTGGACAATACCACTACGTTAAAACTAGGACAGGAATTGCATGGTCTGATTGGGAAAGGATAATAAAACCGCCTTTCAGACGTTAAATATTATGCTCTATACATGACACCTCGCGAGCAGTACTCCGTGCCTCATGAGGGACTACACTGATTCGGTTGCCCCATATGGATGGAATCAACTTTGAGATTGAAACAATGCCGACATGTGCATATTTATTTATTCTAATAGAAGTGAGTTCTTCCAAAGTGCACAGCAAAAATCTGTGTGGAGGCAATCATATAACATGTGTTCACTCATATTCTACAGAAGTAATGAGTATTAACAGTAATTGGTCTGGGGGGGTTACGTTAATAATAAATGGTTCCCCCCCTATGAAGACGCCTTCGATAGCGTCTTATAAGAATGAGAAGAATTTTAATTATTTATAAGAATCTGAAGGGAGCAAGTTTTAATATGGCATGCATTGTTTATACGTCTGTCTAATTTGAGAGCAATGACCTATATTTAATTATACAGCGAAGATAAGAACTTCATATAATCCATTATGGATAGGACTACACTGAGGGGAATAGGAAAAGGAAGGAAGTAATCAAGCATATGAAAACATGGATTTTATGCAAGCTGTAGCATCAGTGTAAAATTACATATTTAAAATGTCTCCTCTTCGTATTCATGATGAAAATCGTTTCTGTTTGTTGCTTCTTATCTATGGTCACATTTTACGCATAAGGAAAGAAGAAAACACATAAAAGGCAATGCAGGAGCTGGAATGTCTCACATGCAGGGAAGAATTTTGTGGCATGTCCCATGCAGACGCGTTCCGCTTGAAACCTCCATTTGTGTCTTATTGTACAGAAGAGGAGCATTTTCTTATAAGTAAGATTTTAGGTTTATTGAACAGAATTACTTTTTTCGCGAGCACCTTCCTGTGTAGCGCAACCGTTATGAAAAACCTTAAAAATTAGTAAGACTGGTTGCGCATATTTATATGACTGCAGATTTTAGTAATTTCTCCATGACCCTTATAATGGTACATATACCTATATATACGTATGTATACATCTATATATATGTCTGTGTCGTAATATTATCTTGATAAGTGGGATAAGGTTAATATACTCCTTTTAAGCAGTTATAATACCACAGGCGCCACACCTTGGTGTACCGGCATGGATTTTGCACATTATAATAACCCACATATTAGAATATAATGCTGATTTGGTACACATGGTATCTTCTACAGAAGAGTTCTTTTCAAAAGGGTTTGTGTATTCTTTGTTGTTTCTATTTTTTTATTTTTCTTTATGATACATTTTGCAATACACAACATGTCCTTCATTAATCTGTACTGATTGCCGCGTGAAACTATAGTGGCGAACTAAAGGACGAAATAAGAAGCAATGTTTTCTCAAGATATCGAGTTGGCTTCAATTAGGCACAGACTGTGAAACATATTTCTGCTAAGTATACAATTTATAATTAACTGAAGAACTTCATAGTTATCTATCTCGATGACAGTACCCCAATTCATATCAGTCTGGTATCTTTTTAGAGGATATATCGTTAAGGATATTGAGTTCAAAAATCAAGTAAGCAGTCGATAATGGTGTTAATGGAACTGCTAAATTTATCACTACATGAGTTTAATATTAAATAAGGAACAAATCCATTTCGAATGAGGGGATTGACTAAATGGGAAGAAGTATGCGGGTGAATAGTAAAAATTAAGCATTCTTCGCCGGACAATAAAATGTGCGGAGGACAGGATATTGCAATAATTATATTTAAAAGTTCCTCTTTTCCCGTTACGGGAGTCGCTGACTACTACAAATGTGCTAACGTGGTTCGATTAATTCGGTTGAAGGGATTACTTATTATGGGCAAATTTTAACAAGGAAAGAAACAGAAAAATACAAGTATTACATCCGTATGTAAAGCAACGAAGGATACAGTGCAGTCCAAGTATATCAATGACACCCAAACCAAAATCGATAGGCCATGACAAGAAACATGATGCACCAATTGATTGTGATTACCCCTAGATATATATAATGCAAGAACAAAAGAAGATAGTGAGGGGATTGTGGGAGTGGTTATAATATATTAC